CAATAGCATTAACCAGCTTTGACTCAGTCTTTTCACTTCTCAATTCTTGCTTCGTTTCCAATTTTTTTAATTCTTCAAACAGCTTCGACTCCATACCATCAAATTTCTCCGCCATGGTCGACTCCATTTCTTTTATTTCCTCACCTTGCACCCGAGCAAGCCCCTGCATTTCTTTTACCTCCTTGATAAGGTCGATCAGATGTAGCAAGAGAAGACTTGATTGGATATCCGCGAAATGGGAGTACATCTCTTCTTTTATGTTGAGGGAATCTTCTCTCATTTGCTCTTTCAGGTCCGACACCTCACTGTTCAGACTACTTGCTGGTTCTGGAGCCGAGTCAGACTGGGCACAGAGAACATTCGAGAACAAACCTACGAGCACAATTTGCAGTATTAGCCCCGTCATTTTCGATAACGAATAAAGACAAATTAAACAGTAAATGCAGGAAAATGAATTATTCTTTTCCTAGAAAAAATGTGTACCAAGTCATGTCGTCCATTTTATGTTTAAGATAATTCGATGAGCATCATAAATTGGATCATTCATAAATCATTTAATTATGCCAAAGGTGTTATGGGATTTTATGATCATGTAATTTATAATTGCAAGTATGACTATGAAGTAAAAAAATCAAAAGTCAAAATCCTGGTCTCAAATGACGGTCCCATGTAAAGTAGCATTCTCAGGAATCCTTACTGGCTGGAGCCTATCTCCGATAGAAACATTATTTATGAGTCGCATTGTTGTGATGTTTCTGATGATTATGAACATTTCTGATACATAGAGTTTATATAAATATACTAATTGAAGAGTTTTTTGTAGACATTAACATTAACAACAATACAAAAAGACTATAAAATTCACGAAACATACCACAGAAATGAACGAGAGTGTGTATCTCGCGCCCGCCGCCCAGCTGTAGCGACCACATAAAAGGTCGTTCACATATTACGTAATCACTTTTTGACCAATTTAAAAAATAAAAGGCACATTTTTTCACTTTAGAAAGATTTCAAATTAATTTTCAATGAAACTGAAAGTAAATCAAATTTTTCGTCAACATTATCGCACAAGATTAATTTAACTTGATCTAATCACCATTCTAGGATAAAAGCAAACACATTCACATTTATCGATACAAAACAATTAGTTATCAAAAACTTAATATAAGAACAATTATGAAAAAATGAAATGTTGGTAATACTGAAACATTTTCAATTTAAAAAAGTTAAAACACAATTGTAAATCATAAGATAGAGACACCGTAAAGATTCAAAAATCAAAGACCACATTGAAAAAACAGTACAATTAATGGAACACTAATACTATGATACATAATTTATGTAATCAGTAATGCAGTTTCATTTTCATGTATAAAATACTAAGAAACTGTCTCATTAAACAGGCGTATCCACAATATCTGGGAAGTTTTGTTGTATCTCAACCTCGTGTAATATAAGTGCGATCCTTGTAGTTCTGCAGACGGAGTTAGGATATCATCACCACTTTGTACTTCTGGAGGATCTTGCCTTGGATTGGGTCTTTGTCTTGGATAATGGATATGGTCTCTGCCGTTGAAGGGCCACAGGTCTTTGATGGAGATTTCGGCTTCCTTGCATGGACAGCCTTATTAAGGAAAGGAGTTCAGATATCTTCACTTTTAGGAAATGTCTTAAACTTTTACGGCGTCTTACGGCGGAAAATATTTCGTAGGCCTTAAAAAGACTCCTCCAGCGATCCAGTCTTAACCTTAAATTGGTCACAACGCACTATTTACCTGGGGACCCCAGGCTATTATGTTCATAAACATAAAGATTTGGTGGAATGACAGGCTGAGCGCGGCCCAGTAACGCACTATGAGTATGCACTAGCAACTCAGTTGAAGTAGCTCTGATACGTCGGATTAGAACTTGTAAAACTGGCCTCCAGCTCACCATTTTTGAGATTCAAATTCAATAATAGTAAATCGAGGATGTTCATTGTTCAAAATCAAAGGGTGTAGTGCATAGTGAGAGAAGCTAGAAGCGAGCAATAGACGTACTAGCAATTCTGAATTCAAGCTGCGAACTCGATCGAGTATCTCAATTGTTTCCTGTTCATGATGATGAAGCTTGAAAAGAGCGCCGCGTACGGGGATTTGTGTGCTGGAACCCTATACTATTACTAACCAAGAGTTTAAATTCCCAATTAATCAGACTGAGCAGGTTGAGCTGTAGTAATACACAGTACTGAGGTGTTAAAACATTTTTATTACTATCTTCAGTAACATCCTGAATCAGAAACTCGGTTAATATCAGTTCCTACAAAGTGTAACATTGGAAATGAAATGACACAACTAAAAACGATATGAATATAAAAAACATAACTCTTGTGCCCCAATGCAAATGCAATAGAAAAACTTTTAAGATAAATCCAATAATGGAATCCCAAACGGGTCCATGGCATTGAGCCCCAATGGACGTATAGTTCTTAGTTTCTGAATATAACGGTGTTCATCCACTTCTAGAGTTCTTGGGCTACTATTACTGAGAATTGACACTTTATAAGCCTGGTTGAAATTGTCACGTTGTTTCATATTATGAACTTTTACAAGGTGTTTACCCAAGTTGAATCCGTCGTCATTTTCTTCAGGGACAAACGTATTGTCCGAAATGAGTTTGTAGTAATGGGCGCGATGTTCGTTTACTCGTGCCCTGAGGGGCTGCACCGTTCTATTCTATTACTATAATAGTAGTACTAGTAGTACAGGGTGGCCCAAAAGTGACTACCCACATTGCACATGCAACCTTTTAATAACTCACGTAATTCGTCTCCAAATTGCACCAAAATTTCAAAGCAGAGATTATAGATATGGGTCAAACTTAGATTTCCTGAAAGTTTCGTAAGCCACGCTCAATTAAATTACAGTGGGCGTGGCGTGACACTCTTTCTTTTTCACTATTGTCTTCATAAAATGAGAACGCTTTAACTTTAACTTTAAGCTAAGAAATCAACATTTTTTTGCACACATTTGGCTTGATAATTTAAAACCCTTCCCATAGTTTCAAGTTCATTGTTCAAAATTTGGCTGAGTTATGACCATTTCAAAATCCATTGGATACGTGATCCGAGCACTCAGTCAGTGTGAGTGATCTCTCGACTCAATCAGTGATCTCGTCACTCAATATGATCAAGAGTAAGGCGTTAGCGTGTATTAATGAGGTCCATTAGGCTTTACCAAACATACTGAGGAGATGACGACTTGATCATGATTCAATCATCAATGCATGTTACGTATCACAAACATCAGTGAAAAGTGGCATGCAACGTATGTAAAATCATGATTGAGTTAGGGTTTGTCCATTGTTAATGGACTAGTCTAGCCCGACGCGCGCTACTTCGAAGCTGGAAGCACTTGCACCTTTCGAGAAGAAAGCGGCGCGCGCTACTTCGAAGAAATTTAGACGAGTAACATCCGTCAAGTTAGGGTTAGGGTTATATCATATATATGATCAGATAAGAGGGTTAGGGATTCGAATTAAATAGTCGTTTGACGTTTAGCCTTAGGGCCAGCTAGAGAACGGGTTGAAAAAGTCACGTGACAGTCGAGTGTAGACAGTAGAGAGATTAATCATCATCCCACTACTGCATACTGCCGTCTGCCACTGGGCGGTAGTTCGGCGAGATGCACCAGTACCGCTGGGCCACGTCGAGTTGCGAAGGATTGATATCGTGAATCAAGCATGCCAGGTATTAGTAATATAAGTATAGTAGTTTATAGGGTCCTAGCATAAGCTTCGGTTAACAAGGTGTAAGGATTGGGTTATAAGATCGAATCAGATGTCCGTGTCGGTACGTCATTTTCATTTTGGCGCACACTTGCCGGTTTAGTTTACTGGGCTGTGGGCTGCGCCGATCAGCCTTTGTCATACGTTGTATGACTATGACCCGCCGCGCACGAGTGCTGAGTGCGCGGCTCCCCCTGTATCGTCGAAACTCGACAGGGGTGAAGCGACAGTGGGGGTCACCACGTGATACAACTCAGCCTGTCATTCCGCCTAATATCTGTTCTATTATGTTTATGAACATGATAGCCTGAGGTCCCCAGGTAAGCAACGTGTACTTTTTAGTATTTAGGCGTAGCAAGTAAGAGCAAAGAGTAGGGTGTTGAAATTTGAATTGTCTTTCAGCTGGCCATCTAGAGAACATTTTATAGATCATAGATGTGTCAGAAGACCTGTGACTAAGGCTGTCAGGATCAGGACTGCGTCAACTTCAAGTAATGCTGCCTACTTGGGCCTGGGGTAGTGTTACCGTTACCTCTGGCCTTACTTAGCACGCCAATCACAATGCGCGGCGCGTTCTTTCAGAGCTTCTCGTGAGAATAGCGAGCAATAGACTACAGACTAGCAAGTGGGTAACTGTTACCCAGCCAGCTTACGCAGATGCTCCCCATATACAATCAGGGGTTGTTCACATATTAGGGGCCATCTACTTATGACGTCCGGCAAATAGGGAGGGGCCGGTTTTGGAATTTCGGACAAATCCGGACAGGGGGAGAATTAACGAAAAAGTCCCATTTATTTCAACTTTTTGAATTTTATTTCTACTCTTTGAATTTTATTAACAATGAATTTGAGTTGGTTTTATTTGTTCTCTTAAAAGTAGCTGGAAATTCGGACGTCCGGGGGAGGGGGTGGTTTTGAAAATTCGGACACACCCAGACAGGGGGAGGGGGGTCTGAAAATCTGCGATTTTGGCGGACGTCCTAAGTAATGGCCCCTTACGTAATCACTGGGGGGAGGGAGGGGTTTCTGAATGATTACGCTAGTGTAATTTCAACACAATAGCCATGTAAAACTGATTACGGATAGGGGGGGGGGGGGGGGGGTGTCAAAAAATGGGCTAAAAAGTGCATGATTATGTAGTGTGAACGACCTCTTATACCCGGCCCAAATACAAAATATTTTTCCATAAATTTGTATATTTTTTATTTTATAAGACACGATTAAATACTAGATTTAAACTTAAAGGTGAAATTAACCTAAAATTTCTAGGATATTTACAAAAATCATATCAAATATTACATCCATTCTCTTTTTACATTTACCAACTTTTACGATCAATTAATTTGATTACACGCTTTATACAAAAAGTAAATTCTGAAACCAGAATCGCCCTAGTAACCTATCTCAACCACAGGTGAAGGTTCATAACACTCAAAACAAAGTTTAAAATAATTTTAATGCATTATAAAAATCTGAGGGGAAGCTTGTCATCATTCTTCAATTCTATAAATTTTCAAGTTCACTAGTTTACATTTTTTCACTAAAGTGATGCCCTCTTTCACAAAGTGACTCCCAAAACTTGCCAAGTTTATCTCCAACGACAGTGTCCACTGTCCAGTTAGTGGGGTAAATAGGCATGCGTTTAAAACAAACACAGTATCTTACAACAACGAGCCCCAGTCTTTATTACCCTTATTAGGTTGAGTGGCGTTTATAATACCGATCGTTAAACCCGTTAATATTCACAATAAATCGAAACGTAAAATCATTTCAACCGTTATTATAACCCGCAGTCTGACCCTCAACTTATTATATACACGTTGGTGGGGGTTTCTTCAGAAGGTCATGTCATCTTCACACTCTGCAGCTGTGTGTCCGAACACTGAAACAGTATTAAATTAGAGATCATGAGGGCTGAGAAGGGCTGTGTCCGATTGTAAGGGTGCAATTAATGTGGGTTAATTAAGTGTGCACTGTAAGTGCTGATAACTGGTCGATATAATGAACATGATTCACGATAATGCTTCACTCTAGATGTGCTGTAAACTCCACTCATCGAAACTGGCTCCGTTGTAAACTCCACACCACCAAAATCTCAAAATCTCAAGTCTATTGTGTCGTTTTGATATGACCAGAAGTGAATAATAATAGTGCCACACAAGATAAAAATAAAACTGAGATACCGAGTCACTCTACTCACTTAAACAGACATCACATTGTGGATGATCGCAATCATCATCTGCCTCCGCTAGATGGATACTGTTTAGTTCCTTTTTATACGCTACATTTTAGCCTTAATTTCCCCAGTCCATTAACTAATTTCAATAAATGGATGGACTTTGCCCCTCCAATTTGAGGCGGAACTCATTAAGTGTAAACCCTGTATAGTAAAAAGTTCAGTGATTGAAAACAACTAGCCGAGGAGTGCATTTTTTCCAGAGGAACCTTCGATAATAAATGATATACAATAGGCGTAGAACCTAACAAATTCTTTGTAAGAATAGTTTCAATTAACATCATTTAAGCAAAATCGCGAACTACCCAAAACTTTTTTAAAGTCCTTCCTCGGCCAAATAGAGGCCGAGGATTCGGTCGATCACAGAAAAAGATAAGACCTTAATAGCTGTTTCAACTCCCAGTCGCTTACAAATTTATGAACAATATGGAATAAATTCCATAGTAATTTTTTTAAAACGATATTTGGAAAGATAAACATGTTTGGACAAGAGGTGCGAATTATAATTGTATACATTCCATTCATACCTACAAGATGGGTATTGTCGAGAACTTCTAATAGTGAGATAATTCACAATGTAAATTTACAATACTTTATCACAATATTATATAAATTGGATATTTATTGAGGTTAGATAATTTTCGTTTCCAAACAGTACTAATAACGAACAAAACTGCGTAATAAGCTTAAGTCCGGGCTTACAATTTCCGGATATCCGGTAGCGGGTGAGTTATCTTATCTAAGTGTTATAACCCCTTAAATACACCTTCAGCTGATCAACTGATGGAAGCTTCGCAGCCGTTCAAAACTCTAACTCAAGAAATAAATAACTTCCGTTTGATCACTTCATATCTGTATTTTCGGATCAATAAGTGGCACTATTTCATGGGCCCATGTCCCAACTCAGTCGCTAATAACTAATAAAAGCAGAGAACTAAACGTAAGTTACAACCAGTTAATAAACTAATGTAAACACTTACTTTCACAGACAGTACAGTAAGGTCGTCCTGACAGTCCTCTGAGACCGCCGTGTCTGATACCACCCGGACTTACTCCTCCTGAGAGAGGTCAGAGTTATATACAGATAATATATATATATAGATAGATGGTTAATTACTAGATCACTAAGATAAGATGCGGGGTTAATAGATAGAATGGTGCAATAGTTCAAAATCTTGTGAATCGTGTGCAAAAGATAAATTAAGTAGAGCGAGGGAATGCGCTTGGGTAGGCCAACATTCTCGGTTGAATAAATACTTTGTGTGTCCAGGTTCTTACCACTACGACCACAAGGAGTAGTTTCTGGAGTGGGCTATTTATAGATTACAATGTACAGACGACTACTGGGATTGACATCCAACAAAAAGAACAATGACTGCAGAGTGTTAGAGTGCAACAGCTCACAGCTGTTGTATTTTTGATACTTGAACTTGCAGAGAGGTAAAGAGTGACTCCGGGATGGATTAACGGAAATCTACCTTGAACTTAATGATCTACCTTGAACTTAATAATAAGAATAATAAAACGTTGGTTGTTATTTCAGCGTGACGTACTCACTACTTAGAATTCGGGGTCTCACGAGCGGAGCCTTGAAAAAGAGGCAACATACCTACATATATTTTTAATATATATATTATATACAATACATACATTATAAAATATATGTATATTTATTGTATAATGTATACATTATACAATAAATGGTAGTTCAAGTTTAGCGATAGCAACTAAAAGTCAAACAAGGAGTAGCACTGCCACAAAGAGCGTGCGACCGTTACTGAGATTAACAAAACTAAACTTCCAGGTCCAGATGAAAGCAACTTTCACATTGTTACTTACTTTTAAGTGTAAAAGTGTGTAATACAGTAGCAGTTTTAATACAGCAACATAAGTTAAAGAACAGATCAGCGGTTATCATAAGAAATCAAAACTACAAGTTAGGAGGTTTAAATGAATCTACTGAAATCTGTCGCGTGACCACTGTCACGTGTCACTAACACATGCTCAACTTACTATCAACCTCATCTTCAACCTCCAACGAGTAATCATCAAACTCTAAAGTTTTGTAAATTCACTTCTTTAAACTCACCAGATCATGTGACCAAGTTTTCTAAGTTAAAAACACTGAATTTTTGGCCAATTTACAATAAATAACCTGAAACCAATGAACAAACCCACAAACAAAAAACAAACAGACTAACTCACCAACAGGGCAGTTCTCAGTGTCATGCTCATCAAACACATCACAGTTATCACAGAACACCCTATTAGGAATAAAGCCAGGTGCTGTGATAGGAGGAGAACTGGAGATGTTACTCAGATTGTCTATGTTCTCGAAGCTCATAACGGGGGGAGAGTTGAGGCGCTGTTCTAACTCGTGGGTTCTGGAACGTTCTCGCACCACCTCCTCTTCTAGGTCGTTTATCTTGCATTGTAGATCTCTCATTCTACCCAGTGCTTCGTCACTGTAAGAGAAGGAGGGTTCAGAGATGTGGAGGAGTGAGGGGTTCAAACTTAAAGTTTAAAATGAAAAAAATATTTTCGCCTTTTGTGCTTTAAGACAGATTCAACCATCTGCATCTAGAATTTGTTTTCAATTTAAAATACGGAATTAGAAATTACTTACAGCTGTATTTCGGTGGTCTTGAGTTTCTTGACGGACGTAGTGAACTGTAATTCGTTCTTCTTGATCTCAGTGAAGGCAGTTTCGCTGATTTCCCTTAAATTGGTCACTTCCATCGTCAAGTCGTCAAACTCGGCGTTCTGCAGAAAACTTTGTCAACTTACATCGAATTTTGCTGATACAAGGAGGCTTTTCCTATCTATAGTGTATAACAGTCAAACAGTGTAAAGACTAAGTGAACGTGTAATTGAAGGTGTGAGGTATTTGTTCATCTGGTTGTCTAAGATAATATTCAGCTATAACTAAATATGCTTCAGTTTCACAGTTCACACTGAGTAAATTACCAGTCGTGTTTGTCTGTCAATGTCTATAATATGGTTATCATCTGTCATTATCTGATTAATTAATTAATTATTAATATCATCAGTAACACGCTATATTTCAGGGCGCTTTCAGACGGAAATAAAGGAACAAGGAATTGATAAAGTTCAAATTTTATAAAAAATGATTCCAATCGTGTTATTCTTTCCAAATTTGATCATGAAAATATTCAGTAAAATCGATTTCCGTTGAAAATTTATAATTTTGCTTACGTAAAATGAGTCTCTCTGACTAGTCTGTGTGATTTTTAGAAGTGTGAAAACTGGTATATCTAATATCTACATAATTATAAATTCAAGATTTAAAAATCTAAATAATCCAACATAATAGTTAAGTACCTTTTCTTGAAAATCAAGTTTCAGCATATCATTTTCTTCCGTCAGATTGTTGATTTGTTTGTGCAAGTTTTCTATTTCCTCGTCTGATTGCTGAAAATATTGCAATTACAATTACTCTAATTAAAATTTATTATAATTAAGGCTAGTTAGGAATTGACAGTTTTTCTTTGAAGAAAAAAAGAAGAGAAGTAATCGAGATATAAGACGAATAGCAGCTGGGAAGAATACCAAAATAAAAGTGCTGTAGGAAGATCATAACTTTTACAGTCTTGGAGAACATCGTGTGATTTAAGTAAAACACAAAGGAAATATAAGGGTGTAATCATCTTTCGCCGTTGACATTTCGGAGATTCTGTGTGCACAATGTATTTTGAATATCAGAAAATGCGAAAAATTAGGCGATTGGCTATGACGCGCCCTAACATTTAGAAAAACCACAAATCTCGTGAAAGGCGAAAGACAAATCAACAAGAAACATTCATGTGTTTTAGTAAGAGATTAAATGTGATAAAGAAAAGAAGAAATCTGCACATAAAATAAAGCTGTAGCAGCACACTTAAAGAGAACACATAGCATTAGCACTGGGAAAAATGGGTGCAAGATTTGAGTGAAATGATGCAGGAAATGATACGAATTGTGAAACAGACAGCCCACAAAACGACTCACAGCATAGGAAAAATAGCAGAGTAGCAAAACCCACCCTATTGGTTTTTATTTTCAGTTCGCCCAGTTCTTTAGTAATTGTCAGCAGCTCACTTGACAACACTCTCTTTTCGTCGGTCAAATGTTTCATGTGACTCTCTAGTTCGGTCACAGTAGCTTGGCTTCCTTCTAGCTCAACTCTCTGAACGTGATATACAATGTTGTATGATAACAGTGTGTGATACGCTGTGACTGTGAGTATGGGTAACACAATGTGTGATATTTACACAACTAAATATTATGATAATAAGGGGTTGAATGAATGGATGATCCAAGGTAAATTCCTAGTAAACAAATTATAAATAATTGTCTAGCGTGAAAGATTCTGGTTCAATGAGAACATTACATGTGGATAAAACTAAAGAGGCTCACATTTCGCACGTTTTATGGTGTTTTTTAATCAATTACCGTCGGACAGGCAGACAAATTCACAAAAACACACTTTGGAGGAAGATATTCTTGTTTACAGACGGTATTTTCAGAAAATTGCTCAACTGCCGAACCTTGGAATCGTATTCCTCAGCTAGGTCTCTGAGCTGGAGTTCAGAGTCGTTGAGTTGATCTTTGCAACCATCTAATTCTTCCCGTAATTCTGCAATCTCTGCCGTTTTCTCGGTTGAAATCGTGGCGATCTGACGGTTTATCTTTTAAACTTCGTTAAATGAAGAACAGCGAAATGTTGTGGTAATGTAATGCAGTACTCTTTACCTAATAATGAATTGTCTTTCTCGAACTTATGGTATTTGTAAACTTAGCTTTTCATTTGATATTTTCCGGTTCACTCAGTAACACGTATTTCTTGTTTTTGAGGCCTAAGCTAAGGCGGCCCGTTCTAATCGCAAAGTGATAAAATCTCTAGAATGTGGATCTGATCATAGAATACCACAACATGACACAAACTCCAAACAAAATGCTTGAAATCACCACTATTACAACATGCATTCAGCCCACGGAAATTACGGCTGGATCGAATCATTTTGTTGAATAGTTCCATATTACCGTCATCACATGCAAATTTATCCGGACGCCAAGACATGTTCTACCTTTCCAAACACAAGAAAACTTCTTGATTAGATGCAGTCATTATTCTAGGACTCTGCATCCGAATCAAAAATTTTCGGTTCCCATTTGCACAGAACAGAGTCAATCTAAAACGGAAATCAAAATCAACCCTAGATTTGATAACATTTTTATGCTGTGAGAACTGACGAGTATGCTGGGATTCTATGCGGCTAGGGGGCTCAAAAACGAAAGCTTTAAAAAAGTAACACGGAACACATACAGAAAACATGGTGAGACCACGTGACATGGCTACACCACGTGATAACACCACGTGATAACATGCATTTCCTAACCTCTCCTAACTGAGCCTCTAACTTGGTGATCCTCTCCTCGGCCTTGACCTCCTGCTCGACCAACTGCTCCCTCAGTCGCTCGGTCTCCCTCTCTAACGATGTGATCTGGGCCTGCATCACAGCTTCGTTCTTAGCGCTCATCTCACTCTGAGCTGCTTTGTCGTTGTTAGCAATTGCTAGTCTGGTTTCTAGTTCGTCTATGTTGTTTTCCAGGCTGGCAACCAAGTTGGCGTGTTCCGTTCGCTCCGACTCCATTTGGTCTTGAAGACGAGATATTCCCTTGTTGGAGTCTTGGAGGTTGTCACATTTTGTCTGGAGCGTTGATAGTTGAGTTTGGAGAGTGTTGATGTTGTTGTTGAGTCTAGAGTTGTCTGAACGCAGCTTGTCTGTTTCAGCTAGTTGCAGTTGTAGTTCTCCTATCTCTTTCTCGGTCTGGATCTGTTCCATGGACCTCTCCATTTGTATCTGAAAATGTATAAATGTGAATACTCCAGTAAATATACCGGTCGCGGTCAGAATGATAACTCTATTTAAAACTCAAAATTCAAAACATATCTCATAAATGCCTGGTTGGGATTATTTAGTAGACAATGATAATCACATGCATTATAGAGACACAAAAGGTAGTTATAAGCTGTAATAGGACGTACCACGATGAATCCGGCGAGCTAATAAGGCACTCTAACCTGATCGTAAGAGACTTGGAGATCTTTACATTTCTTGTTGCCAATCTCTAACTGCTCGCTAGCCAACTGCTTCTCTCTGCTCAGCTCTACTCTCAGCTCCGTGACGGTATCATTAACCTCCCTCAGCTCCACGTCACTGGCAGTCTTGCGCTCCTTCAAAACATTCTCCAGTTCCGATATCTTTTTGTGCGCGACGATCAGCTCGGAGCTACCGTCGCTCTCTGCGGAGGACAACATGTTGTCGAGGTCGGAGATGCGCGCAGCATCACGTGCAGCTTGCTCCTGAAGTCTGGAGATACTGTTCAGGGAGTCTTGGAGTTTCTGCTCGAGATGGATCTTGTCTGAGGAGGAGGAGCTGGATAGTTCTGACAACTCAGACCGCAGCTTTGCAAGTGTCTGCCCTTCTTCTTGAAGCTGATCCTCCAATTTTGAAAGTTTATTGTCGCTGGACTGAACGTAAGACTCGTGCGCACTTCGCATTGAAAAAATCTCGTTATCAAGGTCCGATGATTGCTGTTTGAACGATTCTAACTCTTCGCTGAGTTCCTTGTTAATTTCACGTTCAGCTACGAAATCTGCGGTACAACTATCACTATTCGATTTATAGTCTGAGAGTGAACTAGTAGCATCAGCAAGCTGAGCCTCCAACTCTTTGATTCTGCTTTGAGCAGTTGAAAATTGTCCTGCAGCACCGTCTTGAGATGCTGTCATCTGATTTATATCGCTTTGTAGAGTTTCTGATAACAAAAGTGCATCTGAAAGTTCTGACTCTAGATGAGCAATCTTGCTTTGATCCTGATCTATAGCGTGATTTATCTTTTTGAGTTCAGCCTGAAGTTCGGCTATTTGTTCCTGGTTCATGGCAATTTCACCAGAGTTATCGTTTTGTAAGGCAGAGCTCTCGTAGTCCCCGATCTTATCGAGTGAAATGGCGAGTTCCGTCTCCAGGTTGTTAATTTCGTCCTGTAGTTTGGATATTTGAGAAGAGTTGTTTGACTTTAATACGACTATCTCCTTGTTCTGCTGTTCTAGTTTGAAGTTGAGACCGGACTTCTCCTTATCTGCGGCCTGAAGAGATAAAGTTAAATCCACATTCACAAGGGTCGTATAAATGCAAATAATTGAAAATTCATAATACTATGAATAATACTTATTGCTATATAGAAATTAAAGCAGATTATCAGTCCCTTTCATATAAGATATGTCAGCCGACACAAAATACATACCTCAGCCACTTCAGCAAGTCTAGCTTCGAATGTCAACTTTTCGTTTTCTGAGGCTTTAACTTTCTCGGCCAGATCGTTTCTAGCTTTCTCGCTCTGATATGTACAAATTTAAAAAGCGTTGAAAACTGTTTCGATAATGCAATATATCCAAAAACTTGAGTTTTTAAAAATTCATTAATAAATCTGTACTCATCGTAGTTGATTGTAAATAAATCTAAACTCAGGAGAATTGAGGGTAAACCTCTTCATGGAGTTGCTTGAGCTGTTCGTATTGGTCGGGACTATGGTTGCTGCTAGTGCTGTTAAGTCTGGTTGAGGGAGTCTGAAAATTAGTGGTAGGTTAGCTCGTACCGGCAATTGTACTTTATTAATCAGTGGAGTAGTGGACGTAAATTGAGATTTTGAAGAAAAAAATCCAACAAATCTAAGAACTTGATAGATAAAGTTAAAGAAGTGCTACAATCAACACTAATCAGCATATAAATTCTACAACATGAAACCAACATAGATTTCGCACAATACGGGCTCACATTTTTGTTAAAGTTGATAAAGGGACAACATAAAGTACACGTTTCAATAAGCTATCTGATTTTCAAGAAAATTTCACGTAATACAAAGAAGGAAGTTCGAAAGTTACATTGAAGGTGTACGTCGTGACTGTAAGTACAAGAGGGCACAAGGTGCATCACTGGATAAGACTACAGAATTAGGAAACATTTACACGAATCCTAAACCTCTTCTTGATCTACCCCGTCCATAAGCCGACACAACGGCACAGATTCTAAACTTTTGTCCTTGATGCGTTTTAAAACATCAGATCTTCGTCCAGCTGCAACATCTATAGGGCATTTGAAAGCATCGAATAGATGAGAGATCTGGTCTAGTTTCTGGAGATCTCCCACGGAAAGGCCCCTGTTCAAACTACCAGTCTTGGTATCCCTGAAAACTGGATCTTCAGGCTCCTGTCTACTCGAGGAGTAGCTTCTTACTCGAACAGGAATGTTGCGAGTCCTGGTTTGTGGAGAGGGAGAGTGTTGAGGACAGGGGTTGTTGGAGGAGGGGGAGGATCCTTCTGAGTCCCTCCGTGTTCTGATATCTATGTTCCACTTCTGGATGTTCTGTCTGATAAACCGGGTATCCGGTGATGCTTTTGATTTCGTCACCTTTATTTTCGGAGTCTTCTTTTTGAATTTACTTGATATCACCTCGGAGATCGTCTGATCTTCTCTGCGATTATTAAAGTCCGGTATCATGCTAGGGGTATTCTGGGATAACTTCCTTCGGTAGCTTCTGACGGAGGAAGTTGTGCTGGGAGCAGGAGACGGTGATCTGCAGTACTCAGATAAAGATAGTGGGTCCTCGAACAAGTCTGGAGTATCCATGTTGAGGAGGACTCTGCTACCTTGGGAGTCGTCAGATCTGGTCAAGTCGTCCGTCAGAGTTTGATCCAGGTCTGAGCTGGAGGAGGAGGGACATCTCTGGTCCTCTGTCGCTTCATTAGAGCTCTCCCTACGTAATAGCTACACAGGCGTTAACAGGGAATTTTTCTAAAAGTCATTACAAGCTTCTCTTCTCTTCTTTTTTTTTCTCACATCACACACCTCACCACTCACTTTCTCTGTCCACTATTCAGCTCGAACCTATTATATCTCAGACATTTCACTCTTCACCGTCATCAACTTTAAACTTACTGAGGGAATGGCTGGACCATTTTTCGTGGTCGGGCTTGTAACTTCACTCAATCTTTGTTGAAGGTCGCCGATGTTTTTCTGCATCGATTCGATATCTCGGTTCTTATTATTCTCATCTCGGCTCTGTGATTAGAAATAAACTAAACCCAAAAAACACAGACACATAATGCTATAGAAATCTCAATCCCGAGATAAAACAAAGAGATGCAATCACCAGGAATCAGCAAAAATATGGCAGCAAATTGAAGATAGGAAAATTCCAGTGCAACATACCTTGCTCAAGAGACCCGACAGGGAGGATTTGATACCAGGAGTGGAAGCTGGAGTACGGTTGATGAAGTCAGGTTTCATGACTTCCTCGCCGTTATTGTTAACGGAGGCTTTACGAGGAGTATCGAATGATGAGAGAGAAGTAGTGGAAGAAAGGGGACTATCTATCATTTTAATCTTGGCAGCTTGGGAAAACAAGCCAAAGCCTGGATCGCATGTAAAGTACCTGAAGTTTAGTATGTGATATTGTATGCTGTAAAAGGAATTCTTTGAGGTAATCTATTATGTACGATGCGATGACTTTTGGATATTGTTTTATTTCTACAGAGACAAAATTTTAGTGAGAACCTTTTTTAGGGTTTACCAACCTTTCGCCTTTGACAGACCCGTCATTCTTTCCATCGTCTGTGTCCAACGCCACACCGGCCCACACTCCTTTAGCAAATTGAGTGAGACCCACAAATAACAGCGTGCCCTCCTTAGTTTCGTTCACAATGCATCTCCCTCCAATTCTGAGACCGAACTTGGCTTCGTAGTTAACTTTTGAGACATTAACGTTAGATGGGGTCCGGATAGGCCTCATGGCTGGCTCCTTAATCTGGCGATATTTCTGTGAATGATCAGTAAGCGGATAGAATTTGGATGAAGTGAGAAGTCTACCAAATTTGGCGTACGTGTATTATATGTAACAGTGTAAAATCAATAAACTAACCCTGTTGAGTTTATCAGGTTTACAGAATAGACCATGCTGCGGTTCGCATTGGAAGTATCGTACTCCCTTGACCTCACCATCGTTCTTCCCATTCTCCGTATCTAACTCTACCCCCACCCAGATTCCACTCGCAAACTGTGGCTCTCCGCAGAACCTCACAGTACCCTCTAATTTAGTGTCCTTCGTTTTTACCCTGGTTCCTACTTTCAGAGGATTCATATCATTAACTGATGCACTGCTGCCGGACCTCGATAATCCTGAAAATCAGGTCAGTGAATTCTACGGAGCTGCATTAAGACGGTATGTGCGCGCGAACGATAGCGATACGATGCCTACAGGAGCGGGTTAATAGTGTATGGATTTCATTCGCGCGTTCCATTATTATCTTATGTAGACCCTTTGACACCATGTCCTTTCAACCACAAACTGGCACTTCTTTGCTAGTTTAGAATATTTCTTTTCAGAAGTCTAATTTGACACGTTCTCACTTACAGAAACTTACCAGAATTAATAGACTGACTGGAAGCAGAAGATTTGAGAGCACTTCGTGAAGCTGATCTGATTGGACCGCTAGTTATAGACTCCCGACTCCCTGCCAATTTACCTGACACCTTGTTAGCAGACGGAGTCTTGGTTAGGCCAGTGGTCGGCCTGGCGAGTCCACTTTTCTTGACGGGAGCAGGTCTGGCCAGACCCCTGGCGGACGGGGCTTTCAGCCCTGTAGACATTTTGCTACATCTATTTCTGGTGTGAAGTTTGAGGTGAAGCTACAATGATTGCAGTTCATTTTTTAGTTTCAATACACTGTCATTTAATTCATTTGGATATTCTTCCGGATTCTAATTTAAATTAGGATATTGATCATGCAGTATGGTTACTTTTGCTGGTTTAATTTGTTGATTTTATGTCTAAAAAGCCTGGTTTTTATTAGAGTAGTGTTCACATAAATCCAAGTTATCTAAAATAGCGTCTAGAGTTTACACCCAATCTAGAAGCTTAGCCCCAAAGTAAGCACCGAAAGAGTTGAGTGATAAAACGGTTCGTCACAATCCAAAACAAAATCACTAACAAAGCCACTACAAAGAACATAGGACATTCTAGCTCCTTCTTTCAAGCCTTGTTTTCTTCATAGAGCCGTGTTCACTTTAATCTGTGATGCCGACAATGGCTTCTTTATCTTATAAAAGATTCGCCGACTTACGAGAAACAACGAAGTTTGGTTACAAAACGATTTGTCGTACAATATAAAACAAGTTTAATTATCAAGCAAGAACAGTACAAGAGAGAACAGACAGCACTCTAGTTGAAGAAGCACACTTGTTAAAAGCACAACTGTAGAAGGAATGCAGTGAAGACATACTATACATACCGTACCACACGGCGCTAATTAACCAGATTCTGTCACAATTATTACGTGTGAAAAATGAACTCTTGAGTGAAAATCACGTACTTTAAATCGATCATCACGGTCGAAATTCACAGATTTACCAAAACGTATTCTGACCCCACAACAACATAGCACCCACAAAACAATGTATAAATACACGGTCAAAGTTTATCAGACCTAAAAGCTGACAAGGTTCTAAAATAAAGTGTGAACGTCCATATCGTGTTAAGAACTAAGGAATGCATATTATAGATACGCATAACTATTACAGTACCAAGACGCTCAACTAACATCGGCACACATTTTATTTTCAGACGTAATAAACGCCTATCAATGTAAAAACAATAATCTAATCATCGATTTGATAAGTGTTATGAGAAATGGTATAATTGATTTACAGGTTAGTTCTGCGACTAAAATAAAACTACACGACATGATGTCACATGAATGTTAAAATCATTTCCGATCTGTTACGTTCGTAAAAACGGCTGCTGAGCAGGGAGCAGTCGTCAGGAAGTGAACATGAAGCTTACATAAAGTACTGCCTTGTACAATACCCCGCCTTACTATCGTTATTCCATGATTCACGCTTATATTTATAACCTCTCACAGGCTCACCATTTAAAATTGTCATAACCAAACAGGGCTAAAATGTGGAGATATCACATGCGACATATTTCATTAACCAAATTGCTGTAACCTACACTCATGTGTATTATTAGCGAGGCTAATTACTTAGTTTCGGTGCGCGGCATCTCAACGGACCCGGGCAAGTTTGCAATTAATCTGTTTCTATTGCGTCTGGTGATTGTACGGTTTACTTTGTTGAGCGGCATATTTTAGATACGATATCAGGGTGATCAGAGAAAGAGATAGCAGGTTGCTACTAATAACTAAACAACTTATAGCTGGTCGCTAATGAACTTACGACAGGTCGTAAGTAGAGACAAAACTATGTACATACCTTTAGGCGGAAGAAGAGAGAGAGAGGTTGACTTGTTGAGTTAAGATATCGCAGGAAGTAGATCTACACACTTGAAATACAACGTAACAAACACATAACTTCACCACGGTCCAACATACAACTGACAGAGTCTAAAAGCTTGTGTCGCTCACTACGACTACTGTACAACGTGTTGTAATATACGTGCTATATTAACGTCTCCCTCAGCCGTGAAGTCCTCACTTCTGACATGCACATTATATCACACGGACGGAGCTCTCTTCAAGGAGAGAGAGAGAGAGACGAGAAATTCGCTATCTAGGGACGTCACGTGGGAATTGTTAATCAACTTCACATGTTTTACTAGACTTTATTATATAAAGCCGTTATCTGTGGCGGACTTACTTCGGGGTTATATTTATTACCACTTAGCTCCTCATACTTCACTATTATTACATTTTATGTTTTTCTAGAACTCGCGTAGGTTAGTGGTACAAATTATAGTGGAGTTTTATGTGCATTACATCATAGTGATCAAATGCTATTGTCTCTTTACAGTCTAATCGACCAAAATAAATAAATAAAGCATGTACATATTATCTAAATTCGAAATTAAAACAAGAGTCTGATCAAAGAACGAGCAGAACAACAGTTTAAACATACAACAAGAGAAATAACATCATCGCAACGTGTATAACTGCGCAGGCCGTTATTGCAACACGATACACACTAAGGTCAGAGCACAACGACATTTATCAGAGACCACCAAATTATAGGCTTCACAAACACAAAGCCGGGGCAATTTGACGGGGAACGATATAACTCACTCCTACACTGCACACAGACCACCTATATATGTAATATATATGTTATTATCCTTTTAAGTAGTCCGTAAATCTACATATAATCTCTCCTTATTATGAGGCTTCAGTCTTCACGACATTCCAATATGTAAACGAATCAAGTCCTACGACGACTATGGGTTAAAAGAGCTCAATACCTTAATTGGAGATAAAGTACTAGCATTTTAGTTAACTAACAGTAATCACAGGTATCGTGCAGATGCTAATCTGTTATCTGTATCCGTGCGTATGATCATCTGTGATGTTTGTGTTACGTCAGCCGGGCCGTGGTTATGCCGGAATTTATTAATTATGGGCACGTTAAATTGATTTGCCCCGGTACGGTTCACGATACGGTAAATAATATGTAAAATAAGGAACGAAACAGCAACATACAATTATTTAAAGTAGAAATAATAGGACAGAAATTATCACATGTTAATAAATCAGATATCTTAAAGCGCATGACACTTGTTGAAAGATGGATAAAAAGATTCGAAGCATTCGATAACGGTTTTAGAAGTTTCTAGTGTTAGCGACATCTAGCAAAATCACCATTAAACTCGAGCCAGAACGATTGTGGCCCAGAACGACTGCGCAGAAACATGGAAAAAACATGGAAAAAATCAGCTGCAACGGTGCTATTTCGAGGAAAAGTGAGCAGAGCCAGGCGATTTGTCTAATTAGCCTAACTGCTGATTGCTAATTAGTAAACATGCCACAAGCGTCATGTAGCGCCACGACTGGTATATAAATAAATACACAGCACATGAGCAGCAGCGATGTTTAATTAATAACACGTTGAGCTAGTTACGACCAGATAATCAGCTTATTCTAGAATGTAAGTGATCACTGAGCAGCCAATTGGGTGATTAAAACAAGCGCCTATTAGCTGATTAGAACCACCCATGATCGGGTGAGAATGAGAATGATTGCGAAATTGAAAGGAAACAGAATTAGATTAAACGTATCGACCAACGTATCATGGAATGTATAACCCGAAATAAACAAGACATAGTGCGAAGGCTTGAAATAGTCGAACAGCGCGATAAATTATTTGCATGTAACTTGTAAGAGTCACGAAGTTAAACAATAAAAACAGTTACACATGGGAGAGGAAACAAAAGGCGGGGAGAAGAGAAGCTCACGTATTTTAGAGGTGATTAGTTGCCACGTCAACGCCGGGACAGGGTGTATTACCTTAACGATTTCCTCCACCATGACCAATTGAAATTCTACACTCCGAACTGAAGGTAAAACTGGCAATATTCCCCCATTAACTAACAGCAACTAGTCCCAGTGATACGGTTTGGAACTGCAGGTCGAGCAGGTCTATTAGATTAGATACCTAGAGTTATTTAGCCAGCTAAGTAACTCCTAGTCGATAGAATGTGTCCCAAGTGGCCATACAAACAAAATCACACTTGCTGGGAAGGCAGCAGAAAATGTGGAGTTAACAGTGGCAGTAATCTACTTTAATCTACAGAAATCTACTTTAATACGTGACAAATCTACTTTAATACGTGACAAATCGTGTTAGCGACACATACCAACAAGTAAACCTATCTAACGTGTATAAGACCTCTAACCGTGAGTAATACTGTTAGATAACGTACTGTAATCGAGAAAGGTTTCTCCTCAGTGGGAGAATGATAATGTAACACTCCGTGTCACTCAGATCGGCTGTGATTTCTGGTGTAACTAAAGTGATTACCGATCTGGAGGAGTGATTTCACCAGACTAATTATGCGGGTAGCGAATATTCACGTGAATATTATGTGCAATACCAATGAAACTGACGCTAGTTAGAATGCCAAATAAAGTGTGATAATTTGCAAATTGCAAGTCAAGCAGTTCTATTGCTTATTTTGGAGAATCCTCTGTGAGCACTACTCTACAGTAAATTCCAGTTTTAAATTTAAGTTTGATGTTATAGTATTAGCTATAGTGTTTAAATAAAGAGCGAAATGTTACCTACTTAGAATAAAACACAGGTTTTCAGATAAATAAAAATACACTAAAAAGATTTACTTCTTCTTGGCTACACCAACAGTTCTTCCCTTTCGTCCAGTAGTCTTGGTATGTTGCCCTCTGACTCGGAGTCCCCAATAATGTCGCAGACCTCTGTGGGATCGGATTTTCTTCAGTCTCTCTAAATCCTCTCGAAGTTTGTTGTCGAGCTGGTTACTGAGGACCTGTGAGAATTTACCGTCCTTGATGTCCTTCTTTCTGTTAAGGAAATAATCTGGGATTTTGTAGTCACGGGGATTCTGCATGATCTCCATTATCCTCTCCAGTTCGGGCTCTGTGATTTCACCAGCACGTTTGGTCTGGTCGATATCTGCCTTCTTCAACACAATGTTACTGTATCGTCGTCCTACTCCCTTGATGGAAGTCAGGGCATACATTATCTTTTCCTTTCCATCGATGTTGGTGTTCAGAACACGAAGAATGTGCTGGAAATCTGGAGCTATTAAAATAGACATTTTACTACACCTGTAATAATTTTTATTAGATCGGAAATGCGTAAGTTCGAAAGACATTGCCTGTCAAAATAATGAGATCCAGAAATAATTTTCCCTTCGTAATTTGTTAGATTGTGTGTGCTGCTGGCCCAACACAAGATCGGTCTTGAGTCCTAAAATTTATGTTCGTCAGTTCAGTTAGATGTATTCTGTGTAAAATTATCTTTATCCCGGTTGTTGCGACAAGTAAAAATGCTCTTATTAGGGAAAGGAGATTACTCGACGTTTCAATGTAACTACATCGTATTCATGATCTCAATAAATGTATTTAATTGTAGTTGTGAAAATAGTTTTTTAAAAAAGTTTTTGAACTATTTTCACAACTACAATTAAATACATTTATTGAGATCATGAATACGATGTAGTTACATTGAAACGTCGAGTAATCTCCTTTCCCTAATAAGAGCATTTTTACTTGTCGCAACAACCGGGATAAAGATAATTTTACACAGAATACATTACAACAATGCGACTCATAAATAATACTCCAATCCGGATTTTACATACAGTTCAGTTAGAGTGATGCAATTTTGGCAGCAAACTTGTAATGAGATGTATAAGGCAAACAGTGGAAATGTTTCACTGATTAATTCTTACATTTAATTGTGGAAATGGCGATACAATCTATTCTAAATTCTGATCACATGTGCCTCCTATTTACCTTTCTTCAAAGATGATAATAAGTTCCAAAAACTAAACCTCAATATCATAAACCGAAACTTTAACATCTTTTTTATTTGGAAACATAGTTAATAACATCAAATTAACATAAGTTTAATCGTACTAACACCAAATTTAACAATTAGCATCAATATATTTTACATTTAAGTTGACACTGAAATTGTCAGTAATTAAGATACAACAACATCACAATCATTGATTAAGTTACAATAACAGGAAAAACACAATGATTATCTGTGGTTTCATCCTTATGTAGCAAAGAAACGTTTTATAAATCTTTACTCCACTGGGAAGTATGAATAAATTAAATTTTGTAATGTTGTTTTTATTCATGATTAATATTTGATAAATTATTACTTTGAAATTTGATGGAGAAATAGTTATTTTAGTGTAGTGCGATGATACTTTGTAGACATTAGTGATGATGTTATGTCATAATTTTTACTTTACTTTACTTTACTTTTACATCTTGAACGTAACATTGGTTCTGTAATACGCATCAAGTCCATTCATGGTTAATCGGAATTGTCATCTGTGTGTAGTTTAACTGTTTTGAAATATGTTAGTTTCACGATGAATTTCACAAAGTATGGATTAATAGTCATATTTGTTGCACAGGATCCTTATTAAGAACTGTAAGCATATGTTAAAAGTTATAACAGAATATTGAATACTATTGGCATAAACCACAGCCAATAGCATCTTATGTCGGAAACATCGGGAGTGGTGTGGCAAAATTAGAGCTTTTCTGCTAGGCTAGGGGTGGCAAAGGAATGGCAAGTTCTGGACATGAGCATGCGTAGTGCGTACACTATTATCCCTGGTGACATAACACTTTTACTCAAATGCCAAAGTTTTCATCTCTACTCAAGAGATCACAACAAATTCTCACTGTCAAATCTTAAGCTTTCAAATCAAATCAAATCAATTTGATTTGAGGCACTTAGAATCTCAACAAAGTATGCTGCGTAGAAGATGTGATCAGAAACGATTCAAGATTCCAATGATCAGACACATGATGATTATTAAAATAACTGGCTACACTAAGTATTTCATTAACAATAAATAGTAGAGATCAAAAACTTTAATTTCTATTAAAAACATTAATAGTTTCGTATAAAATTTAAGATCTAAACAATACTACACTTCAAAATACTATTAAAAATGTTCATACAAAAATATTACAATAAAGTAATTCAAGTGTTGCAATTGGCAGAGCACAATACAGAGGTAACGGAAATAAGAAAAGAATATTCAAACAATATACACATAATATAGCAATGGCCAATTGGCTGACTATAAGGTCATGGCCTGAACAAACAATTTTTTTTAAATAGTCAAGTGATGCTAAAGCATACAAAAATATTTGACTACACCAGTTTCTTGGCTTTACAAAATGAAACTAAGGTGGAAATGCAATTACAACAGGACACTGGTTCTCAATGATTACTGAAAGAAACTACTTCAAAATGTAAGTTCTAAACACTTCATAAATGCTTTTCTGTGAACTAAAGAGATCATATCGAAAAACTATTCCCCTGCTATTACGACAATATCTGAATCAAAGATGTTTCTTGTCAAGTAAACATAGTTCAATATCACGTTACTACACCTCAATGTGTTTGTTCGTTCATACTTGTACTTTAAGTAGCATAATTAGCAAAATATTTAAGTAAAACAAAGTAGTAAAACAAATTTTATTTTATACCCCCCACAATCAATTCATATTTAGTTCAAATATTTACAGTCAAAATAACCATTTCACATAAGTGATTTTACTATAATAAAATACTTTGTGATAAATTAATAAATTAATTTGCACTCAAAAATGTACAAAATATACACAATTTTTACCTAGTGCAACACTGGTTCGGCGCGCCGCTGGTCGAAAAAGTTTGGTTTGCATTTACTAACTACAGTGTACAGCGTACATGAAAAGATAATTTACTGAATCTTTTAATACTAAATACATATTAATTCAGATGTTGTTCAATGACTTAGCCACAAAAATGTTCAAATTATGTAGGAGGGTAAAGGGCACAATTGCTAGTAATGCTTCTTTGTGCCCGATATAATGCTATAATAAATCTCGTTTTCTATGATCAGACAAATGAAATTGCTTATGTCTGTCCAATGATATTAAAGTAAGTTAACCGTGAATCGTAAATCTCAGTCGTATATCTTGGAAGGGCTTGTACATCACGAGTATTAGGGTGAACAGTGAGCCACTAAATGGTGTCCGAAAAGATTCTCAATCTATCTTTTCGCAGGCCCCTACTTATTTAATGCTCAATCCATATCATTCGATTGAGTCGATTGAGTTAAACTCTTTAGTGCATCCTCTGAGACAACCAAGCGCTTTCAGTATGAAAACTTGGGTCTGGTGAGGTGATTTCGATACTTTGCAATCGTGAGCTATCAATAGGATCTACTATCAATCCCGGCTGAAGACTCACTTAGGTTTAAACAAGCTACTGCAGTCGACTCTGTGGAAACCCATGATTGGGTATGTGTGAGGAGGGCCCTGAAATCAACAGTCCAATATTTGGTTTGGTTCTGTGGTCGCCTTGAGGGGCTTACAACAGGTGTCCCGATCTTAAAATACATTGTAATGTGCATTGAGGAGTGAACTTGCAAGATAACACATCTTTTGACACATCTTTTGCAACTCCAAAATTAATTTCCAGTCACAAAATTGCGAAATCATTCTGTCAAGTCTATCCTTCGGTCGAGTCTAACTGAGTATGTAAAACAAAATGTAATTGAAACGTTGGCTGCTAGGAAGAACACGAAATTCATAAAATAGATATAGTATAAAAACTGTGATTCAATTGACACACGTTTCGAATTATATTACCAGGCGCTCGATTCCCTATGCACGGCGTTCTTTTCGAGCTTCTTGCACAGTGGGGGGAACAAAGGGAACAAAGCGATAAACTGACAAGCTAGGTATGTGGGTAAGCACTTATACAGCTAGCTACACTTCTAATCAAAAGTGAAAAGGCAACTGCTGTAATTTTTTAAACGATGTTTGGTACTGACAGTTATCGAAACAACTCATTTAATTGACGGTGTCAATTTTTCGCAGCTCGGCCAGCCCGAGTATAGGCGCAATTTGCCGATCTAACGAAGATTAGTTGCGAAAAGCAATTATATTGGATGCGCGGCGCGACCCAGTAACGCATCGCGATACAACAACTCATCAATTAATATTTTGATTGTTATTACTTCTAAAATCTAAATTGTTGATTTTGTATTCGATCAAGTATAAGAAAATTAATTGATTAAACAATTTTTGAAAATTTGTAGCGAAATGCGCTACTAGCTGGTATGGGCCTTGCCAAGCTGCAAAGAATTGACATCGTCAATTAACAGTTAAAATGAAAATGTAAAATATTTTTATGAAAATTGTCGATGACATCATTGATCCAGCGCATGTATTTTTGCTAGCAAGAAATACTATTATTAAAAATACTTCATTCACGATATCAATCCTTCGCAGCTCGGCAAGGCCTATGAGTGGTGCATTTTGCAAATCTACCGAGGTGGTTAACCACGGTTGCGAGAACATTATTTGATGCGCGGCGCAGCCCAGTAGTGCATTGATATTGCTCTAACCAAAGCCCTGATCTCGCTTGCAGTAGCGCGTCACGCAGTACGCGTAGACACATGGCTATGTGAAAGTGCATTGCACTACAAATAGACTTAAATCATTAAACTTAAAAATATCCATAAAAATATTTTGATAATTTAAATTATAATTTTGTACAGCTAATTTTATTATAATCAAAATTTTAGGTCCCGAAACCAATAAACGTATGAACATGTTGTTTGATAAATCATAAATAGGATTGAAACCTGAAACCATGTATAACATGTATTATTTTATTCTCTAAATAATTATCTCCTTCAATTTTACTTATCACGGCCTCATCAGATACTTTCCAGTGATGATGATCACAATCTAATTTTCCTCCTACCACAAATGGAGTCAAATGAATTCACAACACATTCAATGTTTAAGTTTTCTAGGCTACGCAATACAATGAGTAAGCTCATTATATTATATATATTATATATATATTAGTGAGATTCTAGATCATGCTTATTACTTTAAGAGAGTATACAGATTCCTGTTTTGTTCAGATATTTTAGCTCTTCAACGACCACTACTCTAGTAACAGACAAGTGTCATGTTGTGTTGCATGTACACTTTTCTGCACAGAGATTTCTGTCATTGAATGAGTTTAATAGCCCATATCTTTAATAGCCCCAATTTCGCAAACCGCACCAAACGCTTTAATTGTGCCGGAAGAGCTGGATCAGACCGGGGTGACTTAGAGTGCTAGCTCTTTTGCTGTCTCGTCTCTTTTTGCTTTTCCAAACCCAGCTGGCACTTAAACGTATCATTTTGACTCATGTCATTCTTTACACCATCCTCCACCAGTCACTCTGATTTCACCGTGTGTAATATCCGAGTGGCTTAATTAAGAAAACAGTTAGAGTTATGGGACTAGTTTTTTTGGTATAGTTTCGACAAAACTCTGAAGAAGCAAAGTTTTTTTAAATCAGCCGGTGGTAAGTGGTTTAATTGATGATTTTGTACCCCAAATGTGGTACTAAAGTATCTCACCTTTTTTCCCTCTCCCACACACTCTCTCTTTCTCTCTCCCCATTTACAGCTCCCCAAATTACAGCTGGTATATAATTAAGTAATTTGGCAGTTATAGACTAGAGCCAGGAGCCTCAAGATTGCCTATTTAGTATTACTATTGGATTTTTTTCTTTGAACATGCTGAGCGCCTAATTTTTTCAGAGACAGTAGATTATTAAATGTTGCATCTGGTCTGAAAAAATGTGGCAAAACGGATTAGAAATGAAGTCATCAAGCATTTTGTGTATCTCGTTAACAAAATTGACTGGGTGATTATGTGACACCGTGATGCAACACCTTAATCGGACAGCCTTAACGATTCCCATAATGTTTAACGGGGTGTTTAACGGGGTCACCTTATCACTTGATTAGGTTAGCCAATCACCTGATCACACGTAATGAATAAATTCGTTATGCTTCGTATCTCGGTCATCTGAAAAGCTACAACTCTCATTTTTCAAAACAAACGTAATTCGAATGGCCGAACAAAATTCAATAAAAGTTGGCTCGATCTGACTATCCAAACTATCAAATAAATGCGAAAATGAACCTTCATTTGAAAAAACATGAACACGAATTCCTCGAACCAGTGGTGGTAGTAAGTCATACCAGAAAGAAAAATTTCAATTGGGCACTCAGTGACTGACTGACTGAGCTATTAAGGCCAACGTATGGGTACTGACTTTTGCCCCCCCTCCTCTGTAGTATGTATGATGTTACCATCTAGCGCCAATATTTAGTTGGATATTATTTATTCGGATGTATATTTATTAATTGATTGTGTAATAAATTGGTGATAAATAATAAAATTGTCTTTTCTCAAAAATTGTCTTTTCTCTATAATCCTTGGAACAAATAAGTACAAGTAAGTGGAACAAATAAAGAATGGACAGTTTATTGATAAAGATTACGCATCAACTCTAATTCTATCTTGATTCTTGATAGATCACTGAGGTAAGCTCTGAATGTAAAACATGTGCTTTCATTTCTAATGGTACGGTATCATTTCCCAGGGAGTGAACACCACAGTTCCTACACTTCACTGGAGGTCCACTTTTTGATCAAAAAATTGCTCCCAGATTTTGCCTAACTGGAGTCCATTATGGTTCTCAATGCTGTTACTAGTATCTGCATTCTACAGCAGTCAGTGCACTCGTATAACGCTTACACTCCTAATGCAATCTGGAATATGGGATGGGCAAAGTATAAGCACAAATAAGCGCCGTGTTTAATGTTTTTTTAAATGGGTGCATTATAAGTGCAACTTGGTATTTGCAATACTTGAGTCATGCTGGAGACTATCGTATATTAGGTAGTAACAGTTCTATAATATATATGTTGTATTAAGCCCTATTTACACGTGTCTAGGAAATATTGTATACACTCTTCCATAAAAGGCGTTTTGTACGTTTAGTTTGTTTGTACGTTTAGTTTGTTAGTTTGTTGTATGACGTGTGCTTTGAATTCCCTTTTTTCAGTTTCCATGAAGTTAATTTGGCGACTCACGTCTTTCATTTGTCAATTATTATTATTATAAGTTTCTTAAATTTCTGGAAACTTAAATCTTAATTTGCATTAAGTTCTTGAGTTAGGCTTCTGTTATGAATAGTTTTGCGGAATCAGATATTACTGTTAATTATTTTGCACCAAAGCACAGCTTCGTAGTCTGTATAAATATATATATTATTCGCACTGCAATGATTATTGACTAAATTATACAAGGCTAACACGAACTGTACGCGAATCACATTCACGCGATATTTTGCATGTTGCTTTAATTTCACGATCCTGTGTAAGATGTAAAGCACCGAATAATTTATAACTTCTATTAAATTATTCGGTTCTTGTGACCAATTTGTTCAAAGCGAAAATGTCAGTATCAAAGGAAAGTTTTCATATCTTAGGTTGACAGTTAAACAAATAGGATTTAAGATTATCCAAATAATTTTGGCCCTATTATTTCACACCGTTTCCCCCTCTTTAGCACTATGTGGAGTGTGGCTGGGACTATCACCAGTATGAACACCTACGATCCTGCCCTCATAGTTCCAGTGTACTTCCCAGCTGTAACACCGGGCATCTGCAGACTTGTTATCTCTCTTTTTATCGGTAGGTGCTCTCTCAGTCACTTCTGCTATTACGGGGTTATATGAAATTATTTATTTAGTGAAATTTTAAGTGACGAGATGAATATAATTGAATATTTTATGGTTTATATCAACCTTAATTTCAGTGTATCCACTCTCCTACATTCACCGCGAACTGGTACACGGGAAAGCTAAGATTTACCAGGTTTTTAGTCAAAGAAGTTTGCATTTTATAACAAATTTGTGTCAAAGTTCCAAACGTTAAATAATTTATTTTTTACTTACTTTAAATTTCAGCTGCTTTACTTTCTCGTCAGTGGCGTGGCTGTCATCTATTATGTTCTTGGTATGTTTAGCCCTCTTCGAATTTATGTTCATATTATCTATATAAAAATGAGATGAAAATGAGTTCGTAATTTGATTTTTATTGAAGCTAGAATTTAAAATTGGCTTCAGATCCCACGGTGTTTTTACAGGTATTATCATATATAGACAGTTTGGAGCTTATAATTCACTAATATAGTACATTTCCAGGGATGGGAATTGTACATTGTTTTATTAATGTACTGATAGTATGGGTCATCAAGTTAGTATTTGGTCCGTCCAAAACTTCAGTTATCCTTACTGCTGCTCTTACTATGGTATGTAGATTATAAAGTTAGATGTATATCTAGATACGATTATATTTAATGAGCTTCAATACATTTGATAAGATAAGTGCCAATATTGTTTGGAAGGAAACATCTTGTTAGGAAACGTGGCATTTTCATCAAGATACCAATGCAGTATTAGCTCATGTATGTACGTTCTTCATTGAAGTAGTCAGTAAAACAAGGACATGATACTATGTGTGGGGACTACGGACCCCATCATAACCCATTTCAAATTTGCCGCCTGGTTACATAGCACTCAAATTATTTGTTATATAGTAGTGTTGAAAGTATTAAAGAGATATGAACTAGATAGTTAACTTATAGTTTAATTTCTTTTAAAACATACCTTTTCAGATTTACCTGGTAATAGGGTACATAACAACCACATCAGCTGAGGTATACGACGTAATGTGGACTATGCCTCACAGCATTCATACCATGAAACTTATCGGTATGTTTACCTTCTTCTAGCCGTTTGACCAAGACAAATGATTTGGTCTAAAATGAGTTCAATATTGCAGATAATAAGACATGCTCAGCATATTTTGTACACATTGTTGTCGACATAAATCCATAATATGGATTGGTGAACATGCCGATTATCTCAGACAAATCACGTCAATAATCTCAAACTTGTCATCAGAAATCCATTAGCACTCCTGGTATGTGTTACAGAGCTTGTATAAATTGAAATCGGTCGCTCTGCTAACAGGAAATACTCACTGGATTGTTTCACAAGTGTATTAAGTTTGATCAATATGTAATTTCAAGTTTTAGCATTCTTCGTGGCTTGATTTCTGAACGAACGAAACTGTTTATAATGAAATTAATATCAGATATTTTCATTTCATTGTAATAACCTGTTCCATTCAATCAGGAATCAAGCTTAGAAAAAATGTAAAGCTTGAAAGCAACTTGTCCATGTGGCTGATGAATAATCACCTGATCATCCAATTAATCCCACTCAATATCACATCAATTCGCTTGGCTCATCTCAAAGTCAAGTATTTAACGATAATTATAATTTCAGGTCTAATATTCGACTACAAAGACGGAAACACTGATCCAGTAAGTTGCCCCGCTGGCTTTACTGAATGTTTCATATTGTTAGCGTACCTTAAGAGCATGTAATAGTCGAGCTCATTGTATGGGTTGTTCAGTTGTGTTCAAACAGCTGCTCGTGCCAAACTCTTCATGTGATAAGTGTCATGTTAACAGATATTTGAATGTACACATTTGGCTGTCATGTTTGCACTATGTTACATACAACTTTTGTCCTGTCACATGTCGTGAATTAAGTCAAGCAGATTCATCCAACTTATCTGTTATCTGGGAACTTGGTCTATTTAGTCCCTGTCAAAAACATTTCCGACAAAATTATAAATAATAGTATTCTGCTTGAAAAAAAAAGAGAAAGATTATAGCGGAAGAATCGCATAACGACCAGTGACCACCTTCAGTGACTCCATTGCTTTCAATTGAGTTTACTTTAAACTCGTTGGTTGATTGCAGTCACGTGTCTATACAAGATAGAAACACGTGTTAAAATTTCAAACCTTGTTGGATAAGATAACCTTGCCAAGGGACTTTTATAACGCGGACAAGTTTCCCATTTAATGAAAACTACATAATATGTATGTTATACAGTAACAGGAACTCTGACTATCTATGATACGTGTGTTACCTAACATATAACATTTAACTGTAAGAATAGCCTTTACAAACATGTACAAATGAAATATCACTCACTCGCTACTTATCCCTGTATCCGCTTATCGGTCGACCCTTATTTGTATCAGTAATGTAAGACCAATCCTTGTTTGTCATATCCTATTATATATACTTATATGGGTTTACTTTTTAATTTATTCGGATCGATTAAGGTTCACAGCTCAAAGGTTCCACTGAAGGGTCTTCTGAGTATGAAATACGGAACGCGCGAATTATAATTTGATGTCACAACAGACATCTAACATATCCACGTTAATGTTTTGCGCGGCTCAAATCCGTTCACTACCGGCCAGGATTGAGGATTCCCTATCCATAAGAAGAAGCTCGCTTCAAATTCACTTGTTTATTATAACTCAAGTACGTACAATGCAGTGAACATAACTTTAACTTGCTGCTACATCATTTAACAATCATGTTTGGATGTTTGTATTGTGTAGTCTTCTGTTTTAATATTTCCTGAAGAAACTGAAAATATTTCATATTTGCGAAAAAAAAAAGTAAATACGTTTGAACTGTAATACGGAAATTGTTAATGATTAAGTTGGATTACATCGCTGTTGAGCTATTCATTATTGCAAATGTGGGTTACCAACAGTTACAGGACAGTGACAGCCCACAACCGTGCGCTGTCCTCTGATCGGCTTAATTTTTACCAAGAGTTTTGTGCCTAATAAATATATATATAAACTTTCACTCGCACATAAAGTTGATAATAAGCATTGTAATGTAAATTAGTGATGCAAATTATCGCTCAGGAGGAATTGACGGAGGATCAGAAAAAGCACGCCATAAAAGATTTCGGACTGCTGGAAATGCTATCGTTTTGTTTTACTTATACTGGAGGTCTGACAGGGCCACAAATGTCATTTACGAGGTTTAGGGCTTTCTGTGAAGGGAGGATGAAGTTTGAAACGGATGAGAATGGTAGACCTAGTAGGTTAGTTAGTTAGTTAGTGGTGCAGAGTTCTGCAATCATTTATTAATTTAATAAGTAATAATTGTAAGTTGTAACCAAATCAATGAGCATTTCCATTTCCTCCCGGCCCTATATATTGTGTGTGCAATTGAAAATGCGAATTCACTTTCGACAACATTTCGACGGCAAAGTTTCTCGACCGATAGCAAACCAGTTGACATGTAATTTAAATTTGATCAAAATACAAGATTAATAATACCTTTATTCCAATATTTCAGTGTAGATGCTGCCTTCAGTAGGATGTTTGCGGGTAGCATATTTCTGGCAGCATATCTCTTTGGGGGGAGTTTGTTCAGCAGAGAAGTTGTCGTTAGTCCTACTTTTCACGTGAGTAACCGGAGAAGTAATGTTTAATCAGTGTTTAATTGCAAGAAGATGGTCATGTTGATGTGAGATGCTGAAGGTTGGTTTGAATTGGAATCATACCGGAGAGATGTTTTGATGGAGTGTGCTTGTATAACCATACTTATGAATGAAATTAGAGAAGGTATTGCAAAGTGAATAATGCCCTCCAAAACAGAGACATCAAACAATATTGTCCTGATGGTAGGTTTATCGAAATTGGAATAATCATATCTCCACGCGATATGAACAATTATTTCAAATATTATATGCTCGCCCACTAGAGATGAATAAATTAGAATGCTTTCTAAACTTAAAGCATAATCGTTCTCCCTGTGTTTAGGGACAAGATTAGTCCAGAAACAAATCAAATCAGAAGTGTTAAGAGTTAACAAAATAAGAAAAGTAGCAAAGGATACAACGAAAACTGCAGTATTACTAATCTGAACTGAAATCCCTCTTCGGGCTATACTCGCGATATTGATGGTCTTTATCATCGTCACAATGACATTCAAGCTAACGCTACAGGAAAGAAAAGAAGGAAAATAATTATTCCTCTTTGACAGGGCAACTGATTGGTGATTCCACTGTAAAACAAAGTCACGGAAATAGAAAACACGATCTTTCCGATGGCAGCGAATATATCGGCTATTCCAATCCACAAAAAAAGCCGTTGAGTGATGCCAGTTCCATGTAAATAGTAAAATCCAACTATTATGCTGTTGTGAATTACTATGAACATGACAAGAAGAATTTCAGTGCGGTGATCCAATTATAGAGAAACCACTTTAATAAGGTGGTTTCCGAATTAGCATCCCCTGGTGACTTAACATTTTCTTCTCCGAGTATAGAATGAGATAGGTCATATAGGGTAAAGTTCCGGTCATGTCTGAGTTGCAAAGCTTGGTTGAAGTAATCCTCCTGCATCAATCATGGACTGACCCGGAGCGCACTACGTTGCAGCTCTTTGCCTTGGGTCAATTTTACGTAGAAGCTCTAATCCATAACGAAATCCTAAAACATGTGGTGATTTAGAAAATAATTCAATCGAAATTGAGCTTTACCAATATCATGATCAGGTTAAATCATTCAATTCACGCAACACTGCATCCGTTTAATATAAAATATCGGACAAATCAATGAGTCATCTTCTGGAAGGTAGAATGTTGAACAATACCCCGAAGCAACATATAGCCCATAAAAAGCTGATACTTTAAATGGCAAAATAATTTACAGAAAATAGCAGCTACTCCACAGGAAAATTACCAGATAATGAGTGCAATAAACCAGTTTCTTCCACTGTGCGTAACTCTGACGAGGAATACCGTAGTGCAGCTCCTGGTATTGGGACATAATCCCTGGTTGAGTATCAGGTCGTCAATGGATGTATATTGGATATACAGGATAAAAGTAAAAATAACCATCAATGTTTGAACTACACCGGAGCAACTCGACTTATTCATTATAGATTATCCAGAACACGTGATCTAATGGCATATGGCCAAAAAGTTGACGAAGTAATAGGTGAAAGATCCAGGGACCGTTTAACTTATGCTAATAATAATATTAACAGACACGATAGTCTAATTCCATTAATTTATCGACATGGTTGTCAGAATCGTTAATACTTGCAAATTTCAGGACCACAACTTGTTATACAGACTGTTGTACATATCTTGTTACGGGCAGTTAGCGTTGATAAAGTACATCGGCTGTTGGACTGTTATGGTAGGTTTAGAATTAGACGTTGCTCGGTCATCAGATGAATCACCAAACATGATCAGACGTACTACCATCAATTAAGTGTTGTAGCCAATTCCACTTTTGTACATCTTAATTAAGATGTTCCCTTTAATGATTTTGGTTATAGGCCCGGAGACCATCTCTATTGTCTATACAGATTCTGACTAAATTCACAGGAAGGGGGCTGCATGTTGTTGGGAATATCGTACGACGCCTCCCTCCCCGACAAGTGGGGCGCTCTACGGGGGGTTGATATTAGGGGGCTCTTTCTGGGGCACAGTAACAAGGGGTTCATTGACAGCTTCAATCTAACCACCAAATACTGGTTCATCAGGTAGTTCTTGTAATACTGGAAACCAACCTACACTTTACAAAAACCTCATATACTTTTAGTTTTATAACCTAAAATTGCAGCAACCCTCAGCTAGACTCTTTCCTACTGCAGGTACCTGTTTAAGAGGACAAGAGAGTGGGGCAAGTGGAGAAGTATGCTGTACACTTACATTTTTATTATCTTGTGGCATGGTGTTTTACCTGGGTACTGGCTCACATTCCTATTTGAAATACCTGTGATTGATGCAGAAAAGAAGGTAATTATACTTTATTTATAGGCTTGCCGGTGTACATATTTAATATTACATTCCTACTATTATGACCTCTAGCTCTGGAAAAATTGAACAGCTTGTTAAAGAGCTTCTTCCTGTTAATTTAGAATCCATAAATAACAAGTTTGTCAATTTGAAATGAAGCAGTCACATGACTTACACCATACATCCCTCTAAGCTAGCAAGAGTGATACTCCACTACTTTGGAAGGTTTGAAAGTTGGAGTCCTGTAACCCAGACAGTTACCTTAACGGCTGCAAGGTTTGCAAGGTTTCTTACACTGGGGTACGGTATTCAACCGTTCATCCTGTTAACGTGGCAAGACACTTCCCATGTGAGTAGATACCATATCGTACATTAAATACTGATTGGGTTTTTAAATAAACCGGACCAGATCAAAATTCAGAGCTGAACCTGGCCGGCTTTACGAAGGCTTTTACTCCCAAATAGTAAGTTATTAAAACCGAATTTTTTGAATAAAGTTGATAACCATTCGGATAAATAATTTACTTGAGATTTTGACATTGAACTTATCCAGGTGTATAACGGATTATACTGGGGACTGCATCTTATTTTAGCTGTTTGGTTAACACTCTTTTCCTTTTACTTCGAGCAAAAGCTTCCTCCACCGCTCAGGTAAAGATAGGTTATCAAAATACACATTTAACAGATATTTATATTTTAGAAATCTGCTGACAACCAATTGAATGTTAACTTTAAATGTAACTTTTTATGAAATGTTGTACTCGTACCAAAGTGATAATGATACCGATAAGAATATCATGGAACTACATTATTTTATTAGCGAGTTAATGACCACATACGTGTTGGTAACTAATAGATAAGAGAATGTATTTTACCGGCTTATTTTGATCAGACATGAATCTGAACATCGCAGATATCAAAAAAAAGAGAAAGTAGAGGAGAAGGGTGATGATGACGTCACAAAGAAGCAAAAACATGATAAACTGATAAACAGTGACGTTCCTACACTCGCGAATAAAATGAAAGCTATGTAGTTCTGAATTGATTTATTCTGGAATCTGGGGTTTACACTTAATACGTTATATGTAAATCATTTACGTTTCCCCAGAAAGGCTAAGTCTCTCCAAAACATTTTAATCGCCAACTAGTTTCATAATACTTGCCAGATAGTTTGAGTACATTACAAAGTTTCATTTGGTGACCAAGTTAGACAATTATTGGTTTCATTGATTTGTACACCTTACAAAAGTTAATACATTTCAGTTTGATACACAATTTTCGTAATTTGAGCTGTCGATATTTTATTGATATTTTAGATTCTTACTTTTTGTTAAAATTTTTGGGTGATCGTTTTTAAGATTTGTTAGAATTTATATTATAGTTTGATAGTTGGTGACGAAGTGAGAGTCTCCACTCAGTGTTTCAAAACAATTAGTTGTCGAGTGGATACTCTCACTTCGTCACCAACTATCAAACTATATGATCGACCCACTCATAAGAGCGGAGAAAGATTACCGATATTTATATTAGTTGATAATGTGATTGCCACATATTAACATATTCTACATAATGTGTATCTTCTTCGTCAATAGCTTGGAAGAGACGTGATAGATGTGACTACAAATTAGATCAAATCCGAGCAGATATAATCTGAGTGAAGTTAAAAGTAAAACACTTTCTTTTTAAAGTCATCTATACACGATACTATGTACAACGTGGTGAAAACATTATTAATAGATGAGCAAAAATAAAAAATCGTCTCATCATCCACACTTGCCTTACAAAGAAATTTCATGAAAAAACGCTTAAGTTGCTACTGTCCGTTGCTATAAACACAAAACTGCACTGTTCTAATCATCTACATTCGCTCTCATAAATATACAAATTTATTCACACCATTCTCCATCAACATCCACCCTCAGTTGATCGGAAGAGGGTAACTTTTAAGAGCCAGGAATTCACCCATTTTGTAGTTGAAGTCAATCGGACGTTCAGGTTCAGGTCTGTACTTCCGGTTCATGTTGTTGCCTAGATACTTGATGAGGTCGCAGTGCTCTTTGAACTTTTCTAGCTTCTTGCGGTACTTCTCACGAGAGTACTCTGTAGCCTTTGGGTTGTGTGCTGTGGGAGGTAAGCTGTCAGTTGTATTATAAAATTGAAGGAGATGATCCAGAGATGAGTTGTATTATTAAATCTGTGCACAATCGCCATCGGCACAGTGCCGATTCGGCACTTCACAAAATGGCATGATTTTTTAAAGGGCCTTAAATTATAAACGGTTAACTGACCTTTCAGGTGATATCCAACATAGAGTAAAGCTGATTTGTGGGCGTTGACGTATGGGTACTTGGGTTTGAAGTCTGAGCAGGATGTCATCGAAGCAATGATTGCTTTAGCTACTGTTTGCTCCATGTACCTAAAATTTACAGATTATTTACATAACTGTCAATCTTGTCCCTTGATGAGGGTAGACGATACAAACAGATCATAACAAGAATTTAATGTTGTCTGCCCATATGATTCCAAATAATTTACCCGAGCATGGGGAGGGAAGTGACATCTTGAGCTACTCTAGCCGGAGGAAGTTTGGCAGGCAAAGGAGTTCGGTTGTAGTCCCAAGGTTGTCGGAGGAACATTTCCATCGTCTGATCGTCCAGCATGCTGAACAATTCGTCGTCGTACAGGACGACGTGATCTCTGCTGCCTGGCGTCAGGGCTTCATATCTGCAGAAAAATGTATCAGTTTCCTTGCGGTTCACTGAGAGCCAAGACGAGAATAACCGCTTTATGAGGAGAAAAAATAAAGTTGAGATTAATTTCTTGTACTTGAAATATGATAGAAAAGATTATTAAATGTGTTTGGCACTTACCGTTTGTTACCGAGCACATATGTAACAGGACAGTATCCCCTGAACGCCAGCTCTTTGGGGAACATCTGTTTGACTTCGGCTTTAGTAACGTATCTGGGCAGAGAATCAGGCAGCATGTGAGGTGCTGTGGGTGACACGTAGTTGTGGGCCTCGGCCAAAAACATATCCAACTCTTTCTGTCCGGTCAGTTTGTAATATCGGGCCCTGTACTCTGCCGTGTATTTCATGGTCGTTTCATAGCTGCAGTCCACAAGCTCGTGTTTAGTGGCAAGGCTCACGGGACAGTAGTGAGAGAATTCTCCCAGTCTGTTTTTACATTCGTCTGGAGACACGCATAGTCCAAATATTGATGCTGCTTCACCTGTTAAGTTCACAAATATTAAAGAGAGATTATTTTAGAGATTAACCCTGCAATTCCAGTCGTAAGCCTGGGACTATGTACCATAATCTGTTACTGAAATCCTAGAAAAGATCTCTTTCCTTTGGAGATATCCGGAATATGTGTGTAATAATTGATCTCTACATCTTTTACTAGTTTTTAAAATTTCTTTAATGATGATTAAGTAAATTAAAATGCACTGATAGGTGGTAATCAGCAGAAATACGGACTCACCAACGGTTCGCTTCTCCAGGTAATGTTGAGCTGTTGTCAACTGCTCGTTCATGAGCTGAGCACATCTGTCATTTAGCCACCATTTCGACCTATTTCCTTCAAGAATATACCAGTTTCTGTGTTCTTTCTGATAATGAGATCGAACCACATCTATGTTTCGTTTGTAGCTGCTTAGCCTCACGTCTAGGATTGGCGCTGAGTCGTGTAAGGGGAGGGTTCTGCGATAAATTTTAGAATTAAAAATTTAAGACAATCTTGATTGAAATAAATTTTGGTGTTCCAAAATTGATGATTTATCGATGAGAGAGACGTTGACTTAAAATTCATAGAATCTAGTTTTTAGTATCTACCTTTCTGGACTGTGGCGGTCAGCAGTACCTCGCCAATGAACCTCTTTAGCAGATAAAGTGAGCTCGATGATTTGAACTGGAATGATACAAAGCTCAGTCATCAGTTTCACCTGCTCAATCGTATTGGGGTATCCATCCAGGACATACCTGGAAAACAACACATTGTAACCATGGCAACACACTTTTCGAAATGTTGAAACAGTAGACTTTGGTCAAGCCCTTTGCAGAGCGCGCTACAAAAAACTCAATGCTGCGCGCAAAATACAGAAGGACTTTCGACAAATCTGTTCCAAATAAAAAGTTCGAAAATCGAGTGTTTTAGTGAATAACTTAGAATATATTTTTGATTTTCTCCAGATCTGACAAATAGATTTTCTTTAAACTTTCCAGATAGTTACATGGCTATATGACGGATAATGTGTGAGAGTTTGGGAGAATTTTTATATGTTAAACTTGAGATATGACTTCAAACACAAGAAAATATCTCCAAATTAGCGGTTTCTAGCGGAATGCAGGCACATATTTCGAGATCCTACTGATAAATTTTCTTTAAACTTTCCAGATAGTTGTATGACTATAAGACGAATGATCTGTGCGATTTTGGGCAACCTTATATGTGCCAAACCTGAGATATGACTTCAAACACAAGAAAATATCTCCAAATTAGCGGTTTCTAGCGGAATGCAGGCACATATTTCGAGATCCTACTGATACATTTTCTTTAAACTTTCCAGATAGTTGTATGGCTATGAGAAGGATAATCTGTGTGATTTTGGGCGAATTTCTATGTGCCGAACTTGAGATATGACTTCAAACACAAGAAAATATCTCCGAATTGGCGGTTTTTAGCGGAACAAAGGCATATATTTGGAGATTTAAATGATAGAATTTTTTAAAACTTTCCAGATAGTTACATGGCTATAGGAGGAGGAGGAGGAGGAGGAAGACTGAGGAGGAGGAGGAGGTGTAGGAGGAGGTGGACTCAGAAGGAGGAGGAGGAGGACTGAAGAGGACGAGGAAGTGGAGGATGTGGAGGAGATGGACTCGGGAGGACTCAGGAGGATCAGGAGGAGGACTCAGAAGGAGGAAGAGGATGAGAACACAGGAGGAGGAGGAGGATGAGGATGAAGAGGAGGAGGACTCAGGGGGACTCAGGAGTAGGAGGACTGAGGAGGAAGAGGAGGATGAGGATGAGGAAGACTGAGGAGGAGGACTGAGGAGGACTGAGGAGGGAGGAGGAAGAGGAGTAGGACTGAGGAGGACTGAGGAGGAGGATTGATGAGAAGGAGGGGAGAGAGAAGGAGGAGAACTGGAAGAGGAGGACTGAGGAGGGGAAGGAGGAGGAAGAGGAGGACTGAAGAAGAGGAGGAGGACGAGGAGAATGAGGAGGACTGAGGAGGAGGAGGAGGAGGAGGAGGAGGACTGACGAGGAGGACTGATGAGGAGGAGAAGGACTGACGATGAGGAGGAGGACTGAGGAGGAGGAGGAGGAAGAGGAGGAGGAGGAGAAGGAAGACTGAGGAGGACTGACGAGGAGGAAGAAGAGAAGGAGGAGGAGGAGGACTGATGAGGAGGAGGAGAAGGATTGACGAGGAGGAGGAGGACTGAGGAGGAGGAGGATGATGACTGAGGAGGAGGAAGACTTTGAAAATACACATGATCCCCCTTTCCAGATAGTTGTATGGCTATGAGACAGATAATCAAGAGGAAGAGGAGCATGAGGATGAGGAGGACTGAAGAGGAGAATGAGGAGGAAGAGGACTGAGGAGGAGGACTGAGGAGGAGGAGGACTGATGAGGAATAGGACAGAGGATGAGGAGAAAGACTTAGGAGGAGTACTGATGAGGAGGAGAAGGAGATGGAGGACTGAGGAGGAGAAGGAGGAAGAGGACTGAGGACTGAGGACTGAGGTGGAGGAGGAGGAGGAGGAGGAGGAGGAGGAGGAGGAATAGGACAGAGGATGAGGAGAAAGACTTAGGAGGAGTACTGATGAGGAGGGGAAGGAGGAGGAGGAGGACTGAGGAGGAGAAGGAGGAAGAGGAGGAGGACTGAGGACTGAGGTGGAGGAGAAAGAGGAGGAGGAGGAGGAGGAGGATGAGGAGGAGGAGGATAATGACTGATGAGGAGGAGGCGTACTGAGGAGGAGGAGGATGATGACTGAGGAGGAGGAGGACTGAGGAGGAGGAGGAGGAGGACTGAGGAAGACTGAGGAGGAGGAGGAAGTGTAGGAGAAGGTAGACTCAGAAGGAGGAGGAGGACTGAAGAGGACGAGGAAGTGGAGGAGGTGGAGGAGGAATAGGACTCAGGAGGGTGTGGACTCAGGAGGAGGAGGAATCAGGAGGACTCAGATGGAGGAGGACTCAGGAGGACTCAGGAGGAAGACTCAGAAGGAGGGGGAGGATGAGGACACAGGAGGAGGAGAAGGAAGAGGAGGAGGAGGAGAAGGAGGACTGAGGAGGACTGAGGAGGAGGAGAAAGAGAAGGAGGAAGACTGATGAGGAGGAGAAGAAGGACTGACGAGGAGGAGGAGGACCGAGGAGGAGGAGGAGGATGATGACTGAGGAGGAGGAAGACTGAGGAGGAGGACTGAGAAGGAGGAGGAAGAGGAGGAGGAGGAGGACTGAAGAGGAGGGCTATTAGACAGATAATCAAGAGGAAGAGGAGGATGAGGAGGACTGAAGAGGAGAATGAGGAGGAGGAGGAGGAGGAGGAGTAGGACTGAGGAGGAGAAGGAAGAGGAAGACTGAGGAGGAGAAGGAGGAGGAGGACTGAGGAGGAGAAGGATGAAGAGGAATGGAGGACTGTTATAGCCATACAAATATCTGGAAAGTTTAAAGAAAATGTATCAGCATAGGATCTCGAAATATGTGTCTGCGTTCCACTAAAACGCGCTAATTTGAGATATTTTCTTGTGTTTGAAGTCATATCTCAGGTTTGGCAAATAGAAATTCGCCCAAAATCACACAGAATATTCGTCTCATAGCTATACAACTATCTGGAAAGTTTAAAGAAAATTTATCAGTAGGATCTCGAATTATGTGCCTGCGTTCCGCTAGAAACCGCCATTTTGAGATATTTTCTTGTGTTTGAAGTCATATCTCAAGTTTTGTACATAGAAATTCACCCAAACTTGCTCAGATTATCCATCACATAGCCATACAACTATCTGGAAAGTTTAAAGAAAATTTATCAGTAGGATCTCAAAATAATCGACTTTTGTCAAATATCGTTCCGAAACCGCCAATTTGAGATGTTTTCATGAGTTTGAAGTCATATCTCAAGTTTGGCACATAGAAATTCGCCCAAACTTGCTCAGATTATCTGTCTCATAGCCATACAACTATCTGGAAAATGTAAAGAAAATTTATCTGTAGGATCTCGAAATATGTGCCTGCGTTCCGCTAGAAACCGCCATTTTGAGATATTTTCTTGTGTTTGAAGTCATATCTCAGGTTTGGCAAATAGAAATTCGCCCAAAATCACACAGAATATTCGTCTCATAGCTATACAACTATCTGGAAAGTTTAAAGAAAATTTATCAGTAGGATCTCGAAATATGTGCCTGCGTTCCGCTAGAAACCGCCATTTTGAGATATTTTCTTGTGTTTGAAGTCATATCTCAAGTTTTGTTACTTACTTTAGGTTACTTTAGGTAGGTTCGGCAGGGATCGCTTCTGGACAACAGTATCAAGTACGTCCTCCAATCACTCCTGGCTTAGATCTTTTTGTAGAGTCCATTCCAGAAGAGAATTATTTGTGATGGCGGTATACCCTTTTGTGGGCGGGGTGTCCGGGAAGCCTTTCAGGAATTTAGCAAGGGAGGATTTGAAAGTTTCCAAGACTTGGATTGTGTTAACTTCCTTGGGGAGCAGGTTCCATAGTTTGGCTGCTTTTACTCCAAAAGAGTTTTCATAATGGGTCGAGATTGAGCATTGTGCCTTTTTGTTAAATGCAGGCACAGTGGCCTTTACACCGTGTCGTGAGCTTTCCTTGAACTGCATGTTGATGTCGTTCGGAGCTAATCCATTCATCATCTTCCATGTATGGATTATGATGTATCGTTCTCTGCGTCTCTGTAATGAGAGAAGATTCAGGTTCTGCAGGCGTTCCCAGTAATCAAGGTTCTGGCAGCCACTGATTCGACGAGTGTAGTGTCGTTGGATGCTTTCAATAGCTTCTATATCGCTGATCTTGTCAGGGTTCCACACCGGGCAGCAGTATTCGAGTTTGCTTCTCACCATGGTTTTGTAGAGTGTGAGCATGAGGAAGCGTGACCTATCTCTGAATACACTAAGGACCCATGACGTCATCGTCCTTGCTGTTTTAGCCATCTGCTGTATGTGAGAAGACCAGGAGCAGTCATTTGACAGGAGAACCCCTAGGTCCCTCACAGTTTTGGCTGGGTCAATAGTTCTTCCATTTGTTAAATTGTAACAGGAATATTGACTGGTGAAGGGCAATTCTCTTAACAGTAATGAATTGTTCAAGCTGTAATTCAATATTTCGAATTTGGCCTCATTTAGTTGCATGTTGTTCTTCAGGGCCCAAGCGATTACATTTAGGAGGTCGTCTTGAAGTAGGCTTTTGGTAGCTAAGTCCATGATTTTTCCAATGAGCTTGGTGTCGTCAGCAAACACCTTTCCCAGAGCGGTAACCAATGTATCAAGTTGGTCGTCAATGTATAGAATGAAAAGAATGGGTCCCAATACTGTTCCTTGGGGTACCCCACTGATTACTAGCTGAAAGGATGATTTTGTTCCTTCCACGACCACAGTTTGCAGGCGATCCTTCAGGAATTCAGTCAGCCATTGCAGAGTCTTTCCTTTTATTCCATAGCGTTTTGCCTTTGCAAGTAATATTTGATGATCTACCTTATCGAACGCTTTGGCATAATCAAGGTATATAACATCAACCTCGTTGCCGTCGTTGAGAGTTTTCAGGATGTTATCTACGTGGTCTATTAGTTGAGTTAAGCAGCTTCTTTTCTTGCGGAATCCATGCTGATGGGGTGAGAGAAAGCTGTTTGACTCCATATGTTCCACAAGATGATTTCTGACCACTCTCTCAAATATCTTAATAATGTGAGAGGTTATCGAGACAGGGCGATAGTTAGCGGCAGATGTTCGGTCTCCTTTCTTGAACACAGG